AGGGAGGCATTCGGAGCCTGGAAGGTGGTCGGGTGCAGGGAGGTGGGTGGCTCAACACAGGAGCACCCCCTACTGGCCCGCCTCACGTGGTGGAAATAGCAGTGGGATACGAATACCCAGCTGTTTTCCTGAGGTGGGATCGCTGCACCCGCCACAGGCACAAACCCACATATTATGGACAGCTCTATTGTTCTGGGAGGCTGAGTACTGGCAGATCATTCTGACATCAGTGGGAGCGCTGAGTACTCAGCACATCTGAGAAATCAAGTCTTTTACATAAAGATCTAACTGCAGGCACTCTGGCTGGTATGTTTTGGACTTGGTTACCTTGCCTCTACCTCTGTTAAAATGGGGGGAACTAATAAGGCACACATCACTGAGGGCGTTGCAATCTTAATTGTTTGCAAAGCACCATGGATCCTTGCCTGAAAAGCTCTGTAGAGATGCAAAACATTAGTTGTTCATTAATGTTACTGATAATGTAATACATTATTTTATTAGTTAGTAGTATTTATTATTGAACCATTAAGAAAAATACTACTGATAGTGAGCCAGCAGTTTATAAATACTGCTGATAAAAATAGACATTTCACATTCAGTTCTGTCCTGCTGGAGTTAGCTTATAAAATCCAATACCAGAGCTATGGAATATTGCTATTCCCATGACAACTTTTTTTTTTTAAATATTGATCATCCTCAATCAATGAGAGGGAAAACGAAACTAGAATCTAATGGAAATAACCTATCTGTTTACCTGATGGTCTCATGTACTATCATTATGGAGCCCCCTACCCAGTGCAGGCTCTGATTTCAGCAGCAATGAGTTACCAAAGAAAAGATTTCTGTGGTTTCCATGGATCAGCCAGACAATGAGGCTGATGTTGGCTCAATTCTGTGTTTGCCCTCTCTCTGCTATGCTTTCAAAGAAAGGCTGGGGTGTCTGGTGCCCCAGTCCCTGAGGCCCCCAGCAACATGAGAAACTCCTCCAGCTACAAGAGCAACAACCATAAAACCACCAGGTGCCTTACCTGTACAGGAAAAGGTGCCAGGCCACACAGTAGTGCACTTCACTGAGCAGCGAGTTTCCCTGTCTCACTAAGGGCAGGCAGAAACAAGAGACTGGAGAGGCATGTGTGGTGGCAACGGCAGACAGCCCATGCTTCAAGAGAGTTCTGTTATTATCTCTACAGGGATACAGACTCTTTCATCCTCAGGGATCCTGCACGGTACTTAAAGAACTATATATAGAGACACACGCAGCAGCTGTTAAACACAACAGTTATGTGTTGGCTTGGGGATAGCTTCTATAAGTGAAGGAAAGCACTAAACCCAGTTGAAACTTCAGGGAGAGCTGGAGAAATGGGGTGATTAGCATTCGCTCAGGCTGGTGATGCTAACAGCCAACAGTAACTTTAATGACCATTACAAGTAGGTTGCAGGCTTTACCTTACCTCTGTTTCCACCATTGTGCCAACTCCAACAGAACAGAAGGAACTCTGTCTGCAAGGCTTTTGCCACGTAACCCTTTCCCCTTTAACTTACAGCTTAACACCCTCCTATTTCTAGATAGTCTCTAGTGCAGAGGATTTGGCACTATATATATTAGAGATGCAGGCTATCCTATTGGTACCACTACCACATTAAGAATGTGGCTTCATGATCCACAAAACCCGGACTTTCCATTCTACACCAGTCACGCAGCCAATGTCTCAACTTCCAGTATGTTCTGTTTCTTCTTCCTCTCGCTTGTGGGAGCAAAGGGCCTCACCAAGAAGATTACATAGACTTTCCTCTTAAGATGTCTCCCAAGGTTCCTCAAGTCATCAATAATCTCTGTAGCTCTACCTAGGAGATAACACAGGATCCTGTTGCCTTTGTGCCCCTCCCTGAATTCGCTGTCCATTTTTCTTAACAGCAGTTGCTTGTGATGACTGCCTGCTCCCTTACAACAGTTAGAGAAACACTTTTGAGCATCCTCACAATAAGAAGCAAGCAGCTACCCTGGGGTGAGCTTTGTTCCAGTCCTCTGGATGAATATTCAGAGACAGCTTCTGTATCTCTCCTTTGCTGAGTGTCTCATCAAGATGCAGTAGTTCCAGCTTGACTGAACATCTCCTGATCCTCTTTCCTCTTCAGGTTATAAATTTCCACTCCTTAGTTTCAATTCCCATTACTTTTCTTTCTGCTAGCCCTTCTCTGCGTTGCATCTCTGGCAACAATTACTGAATCCAGTTGCCAAAAAAGTCAGAATTTACTTGGTGGCTGCACACAGTTGATATTAGTGCTTGGAGGCTAAAACCTTGTTCCTTCAGGATTGACAATAACTGGCATTTCATACACAAGTAAACTCTTCTGTCTCCAGGGAAGAAGTAAAGCATCTTTCACAGGTCACAATGGGTATTTTGTCAATCCGCTGTGTTCTCTAAACAGTGCAGCACTGTACCTAAATAGAAATAAACCACACACCCTCTGAAAGCTCGTTTGTTGTTTCCCATTTTCTCGCTCCCGAATTCCCTCCATCCCTGCTCTGGGCTCCAAATATTCTATCCCCAATTTTGTGCTCCCTTTTTCTCCCCCTCCTTTCCCCCAGGTAATGGAGAAGACTGTTAGACTTCGGTAAAGTCCTGCCTGCCTACTCCACCTAGAGCTACCATCACACAAGAGTACAGCCTGCAGCTGTACTCTTCAACTAGTCCACTTGAATCAGCACTGCTAACCTGGCTACCAGGGACAGGTTATATGCCCAGAGTGCATAAGGCCTGGTTGGCCACTCACAGGGCCATCCAGCACAGCAACCACTCAGCTTTCCTAAAAATATCCCCAAATGCAGATACACACAAACCAGTAGAGTCATCTTCCTCCAAGCATGGGATCCACAGTTATTACTCTGAAAACCTTCCTGTTTGCTGATTCCTGGTCCCCGCAGATGCAAAAACATTGGCATATAGCTAGGCCTTGCATGCTGTATACAGGTGAGTAGACAGGAGTTTGGACTCTGCCATGCTCACATGGTCCCTTCCTATTACAGCCATTGCATAAAGAGCAAAAGACACAGCACACCAGCACAGACTCCCCATGAGCCAAGCTGAGGGGGCAGCAGGAAAGTAGAGACCAGGGTAACTCCCAGAGGAGGGTTATTCCGGATGTTGTAGTTAGAGTGGGGTGGGTGGTCCATGGTGGGTCCAAGCTTTACTGAGTAGCACCTATTAGAGCCTCATGTGCACCTTGTGCCTCTTCATGCTCCTGTATCAGGGCACTGAGGGCAGGAAAGCTGTGACCTCCTTCAGTGCTGTCACAGCCTGATGTCTGTGACCACAGGACTCTGAGAAGGGGAACAGTGGGAAAGGACAGGGGCTTCCAAGATGGGAAACTTGTAAAAGAGATGGTGAAGCTGATCTGAGCAGTGGGGAGAGATGGACAGCAGTGGCATGGGCACCCTCAGCACAGCTTCACTGCCTCCTTTCCAGGTTTGGCATCTGGTGCCCCTGGGAGCACCAGGGAAGGAGTGTAGACATACTACAGTACACCGCACTGTGCCTTGCAGAACTGAGCTGAGAATATCTATTATGTTTGTAACAGTTCTGTTTTTTCTTTGCCCAGGGCTCAAACCATTAGTGCAACCAGCCTTAAAAGGGTTTCCCCATAATCACACATCTGCTGGAATATCTGATTTTTTTTTCCTTTTCTGCTGTTCTGGCCATCGACCAAACGGCACCTTTTGCCTTTGTCAGGGTTGCTACTCATGGGGCACTTTTGTAGAGAGCCAGCACATGGATTCCTGGGGTCCATAGTATAGTCCATGAGCTCTTGAGGGAAGGGAACATTTTAGTTGTCCTCTGGTCAGTGAGCTTCATTCCCTGAAAAGGCAGAACTTTAGTTGTGGTCTGCATATTGCATGGTATGTGCAAAGTCTGGAACCACTGCTTTGAACCCCACAAAGGCATGGGAGTCAGCATGAAACATCTCACCTTACTATACAGGAGGCAGCCAACTGACATTATTCTCACATGTTTTTTAAGGAACACCCATTAAATGCAAATGCAAAGATCAGGGGATAATAGGAAAGTAGTGCTGGAAGCAACCTCCTGATGTCATCTAGTCCAGCCCCCTGCTCAAGCAGGATCATCCCTGACTAAATCATCCCAAGTCAAGTGTTTGCCTAATCTGCTCTAGCATATTCCAGGTATGGAGAGTCTATAACTTCTCTAGGTAACCTGTTCTTGAATGATCAGTCACCCCCATAGTCAGCAAGTTCATCCTAATCTCCAACCTAAATTTCTTCTGCTTGAGTCCATTGGCCCTACTCCTGTCCCCTATAGCCATAGAGAAAATCCTATCTTCATCCTCTCTATAATTGCCCTTCAGGTATTTGAAGATTTATCAGACTCCCTGCACAAGTGAGTTTGCTGCATTCTCTCTTGTCATACAATAGGTGATATACTGTATTTCCTCACGTGCCACATATACAGACCTCGTTCTTGGAAGAGGCAAGGGTTTCTTAAGGTGATATCTTTTATCGGACCAACTACATAGTTAGTATAAATTTAGACAAGCTTTCAAATGCAAGATATTCTTCGTCAGGTCTCTAATCCATTTTGGAAGGCAGAATGCAGAAAAAAAGATTTTTTTTCCAGAGCCATGGCTTAGAACTGGCTTTTTCATAGAGACACTGGGTTGCAAAATGGTAGCCAGCTTCTCTCAGACAGCAAATTGAGAGCAGCTGTGAAAGGGTTAACACTGGGCTCTTCCCCTTCTGCTTGCTGTCCCACAGAGAAGATGGCAGCCATTTGACGACAAAGTGTCTCCATGCTTCTATTCTGGTGAAGGAAATCCACCCTGCTGCTTAAAACACACCCTCCCAGTTTGGAAGGCTAACTTTAGTAGGGAAAGATGCATGTGGCATGTGAGTAAATATGGTAATGGCACTGAGAGAGGGCTATGCAGTCCCACCCTTTATGCCTGTGTAGGCACAGGGTACATGTACGGTCCTGACAAACATATAGTTCACGGGGCTTATGTGTACGTGTACCTTCCTTAGAAGCAACTGGTTATCAACTGATTATTCGTTCCCCTTCCCATTTTCTTTATGACAGCATGGGAAAGGAAGAGCTGCACGGTTTTTGACTCATTTAGATTAAAGGCATTTTTTGTTTCCTTCTTGATTGTGTTTTACTTACAAGTTCAAATTGTATCTGTCCTGCCTCTTTGAAGTCTTTATGGGCCACTGGTGACCTTAAAATTTAGGCAAACAATGCTTTGGAAAGCTCCCATCCATATTCCCTACAAAGACTTCGGGAACATTGTGGGGGAGAGAGTTCCTGAGGAATCCAGCTGGGTTTTATGCAAGCCTTAATGCATGCTGGTACAGGACACCAGATGACTGGTCATGTTAGATGCATCCAATAAACGCAACTGATCTTTACTTTAATACCAAGCCTCAGCATATTACTCTCATTAAAGGCTTAACATGACCTGGAATGCAAGAGAAGAATCCAGGCTCATTCATGCTACTCTTAAACTACACACCTTTTGAGGTGGATTCATTGTTGTCAGTAACCCAAGAGCCCACAAGGATTATAAGTCATCTTGCCTTCTCAGGGTTTGACTGGGTAACAAGAATCTCCAGAGAAGCAGAGTCTGATGATAAATAGTAATTTCTTTCAACCATAAAAATCCATGACTGTTCATGAAGTCATATAATGATCTCACTGGGCTTACTTATCTGCCTTTCCATCCCCCACTACACTGCAAGGGCATGTTTTCCTTTCTATGAAAGGCAGGGGAAAAAAAGCCACTCTCAGCACATATATCATTTTAGCATCTCAAAACTGCATAGGAAGTTGAGCACCATAGTTATACCAGCATGAAGAGGAGTTGACAATTTTTGCTTGTTTTCAGCTGCTTCAAGAGGGACTTATGCAAGGGACCTTTTCTGGAGCTGTTTTTGTACTGTTGGGCGCTTTATTATGGGGGAAAAACCTGTCCCTTCTTGGTCTAAGCACAAAAAGTGGTGAGACTCACATGTGCAGTAAGGCCCCTAAAGATAATAGTAAGGACCTTGCTGTAGGTTTGGAAGTGACAGGCAGCCAGTATAGAGTGCACTATAGCATTGGTGTGATGTATTTGCAACTCTCCATTTTGCTTAGCTGCTTGGTAGCAGACAATTGGACAAGCAGCTTGACATGGCCTCTTTTATCTGTCATAATGCAAATTTAGGGCTCAATGTTTTGGCCCCATGAACCAGGTGAAAGGCACAGAACCCAGTCTGTGGGCTGGACAGGGCCTTGTGCCAACCCCATCCACCAGCCATGCATGCTGAGATCTGTTTTTGCAGCAGTTGCAAAGAAAAAGGAGCAATTATGGCCACTGGTGCTAGAGGTAAGAACATGAAGGGGGTGGCCTGTAAACAAAAGCATGAAAAGAAGGGAGAATGATTCAACATCAATGCTAGAAAGAAGCAAGTCTCCACGACTGGGGACTCCTTGTTAAGAAGGATCAACTAGCTTGCTACCAGAGCAAATCTGGAAAATAGAGACATGTCTTGGTCCTGCAATTATGAGGAGCAAAATATGTGATGGGGACCTGCTGCTGACAAGGACCCTGCTGGGAGTGGCAGAGTCCATTGAATATCCTTCATGTTGAGGATAACGATGCTGCAAGATTCCTGCTGGGACCAATCAGGTGGCTACACTGGATTGGTGAAGATGCTCAAAAGAAGTGGAAGTTCAGGTGACCTTCAGCAGATCACTTCTCACCCCTCGAGGAGGGTGAAGGCATGATAATGAAGATCAATAGATAGCCCAAGGACTTGTGGTTGAGGAAGACTTTGGGATGTTTGACCACCAGGATACTTTCATAAGTTTTCTGGGGAAGATGCGTGCCACCTAGGTGCTTGGGGTAATTGGTTTCTGGGATTGTTTGAAGCTGACATGACTGACAAGTAGGCTTGGGAGGATTCAGTTTTTATTGACAAACACTGATTTCACCTCACGCTCACCCATGGAAAAATATTTCCATTGGTAATAATCGAAATTTATAAAAAGGGGACAGTAGAGAAAGGGAAATGGAAGGGCAAAGGGGTTAGAGGAAAACAATTGAGTCTAATGACTCAAGCAATTAGCTGCTTGTTTACAGTTGGGGGTGAGGTGGGGGGAAGCAGGCTGGAGGGAGAAAACAGGCTACTTAAAACACCTACCCAAAGGCCAGAGAGGAGAGGAGAGGAGGGAGAGCGAAGACTAAAAGTATCTGAGGCTCCAGTTTGACTGTAGGGTCCTGCCAGGCCCTAAGCCGGAGGAAGGTGGAAAATGGGGTGGGGAGCAGCAGGCTGAAGGTGGCTGCCACCTCTCCCTGTGTTCCCAGAGCTTGGTAGCATGGCAAATATGACTGGAACACAGGTATAGAAGGGTGTGTGCTGCTCTGGAAAGATAGAAATAAAACTAGAAGGGGTGGCTAATGCAATAGGCTATTGGGGAAATGGAAAGAAGAATCCGTTTGGGTCAAAATCCCTTTGAGGCAGTATGGTGAAAGAGGTTCTGCTGGGATAGATTTGGGAGTCTGCTCTAGGCCCTCCAAGGTCCGATTTGAATAGGGATAGAGAAGTCTATCATGTTATTAGTGAAGTCAAGTGGAGTGAGGAGCTCACTTGAATGTGGAGGAGGCCATGTAGTCCTATAAGTCCATGGTTCTCAACTTTGTTAGACTCGGGACCTCTCTGAAAATGCCAGATCTTAGTTTTCACTCTACAGGAAAAAATAACTGAGTCAGATTCTTCTGTTGCCAAGAACTCGGAAAGCACACAACAGGTCAGAAGGTTCCTAACACTATGGATGTCTATTTGAAATCTCTGGGTTTCTTTTGTGAATCATGTCGTAGGTGTTTGCATACCTAACAGTGCTAATAGTGTGTGGATCTCATGGCACCCCAGTGTACTGGGTCACCCTGGTTTAGAATTGCTACTATAAGTCAAAAGCGCAAAACCTGTCTGAAAAGTGCAAAAGTGCAAAACCTGAAATGGATATCTTAACCAAGATACTGGAGCAAGGAGGAGGAAATTGTGGGGAAGGGATCCAGACCTGACTGGATGAATAACCAAAAAAGGTACTGGGAATGAGCAGAGAATCTACAAGGAATAGAAGAAAGGACTGATTGGCCGAGAAAACTCTCTCTTAAGAGTCAAGAAATGTAGGGAAAAATTGCATAAAGTGAAGCCAAGTTAGATCTTGCAAACAACGTTAAAAGGAACAATAAAAGGTTATTCAGTGATATTTTTTGTGTCCAAAGACACTGGAGAGAGAACAAGGAAAGAAGAAATATGGCTGCTGCACATTGAGAATTGGGTAGAGGTAAATGGAATGGCCCACAAAGTAAATGAATACACTGCCTCTGTTTTCAAGAAGACTGATGCTAAACATGGGGCAAAGGCAGGATAGTTCATGGAGATAAGGGCATGGAAATCATCTTAACTGAGGTGGAAGCTTAATTCGGAGAACCTTATGCAACCAGGTTAGGGGACTGGATAACATCCATCTATAAATCTTGAAAGAAATGGCACCTGAAAATGTGGGTCTGCCAGTAAGGAGTATGGACAAATTTAGGCTGGTACCATATATTCAGAGAACACTATATTCGCTCAAATCTAAGATGCACACCCCGGTCAGCATGAGGTGGGGGGGGGAAGCCCCTTGTCATAGATTCACATAAAAAGTGAAAGCAGGGGGCAGGCACCTTCTGTGGCTCGACTCTAGCCCTGAGCCCAGGTTGAGGCAAGTCAGACCCACAGCAGCCTCCAGCCCCTCCAGCTGTAGCGTCTGAACCCCTCCCAGCCCCTTCCCCCTCCCCTTACTGTCAGGTGCAGCTAAGCTCAGGTTGGGGCTGGATTCCCTCCCAGGCATGGAACACATGGAAACTTCATCCTCTGCCCAGGTAATCAGCAGTGCTGACACAGCTGTATGGCTGGCAGGGGCTACACTTCCACCTACTGTGCTCTGGAGAAGGAACAGAGCCTGATCATCAACATCTGTCAGTAAGGGAGGAGGGAGGGGCAGAAGAGGTAGAGACTGGGGATTGTGGGGAGGAGCAAAGGCTGTGGGGAGCTGGAGGTGGGGCGGTGCTGGTGGCAGGGGGACAAGAAGGCTGCAAAGGGAAGAAGTAGGGGGGAGAGGGCAAAGGGGCTACCTGCTCCTCTTTCTCACCCCCACCCTAGCCACAGCTTTCCCTGCTGTAGCAGTGGGGCATGGGGAGGAAGGATGAATTCAGGACAATCTTCTGATATTCAACTTTTATACCTGGAAAACTATAACACACATTATAAATTTTCCCTATATAGAATCTAATTATTGTCTTAAATTCAGGGTCATCTTGGATTCAAGCAAATACACTAGCTTTTGAAAGGTGATATAGATACTTTTACCCCAAATCTCTGCTCTGGCAGCTGAACCAGCCTATTGCTGATGTACCAGCCTGTACCCGGAATTGCTGTATTTCCATTGCGTGTCAGAGATTATTTCAGAAATGGGCTCAGAGAACAACCTGTACTGCCTAGGAGCCCTGTGAGGCCATAGTTCCCTTGGAAGTCAGCCACCCTGCACCTCTTACAAACATTCCCTTCCTGTCTACCAGCTTTTCTGATTAATCAAAGAAAATGAGGGTTGGAAGGGACCTCAGGAGGTTATCTAGTTCAGTGTTTCTCAACCCATGGGTTATGACCCAAAGGTGGGTCACAAGAACATATGAAAGGGTCATGAAGAGACTTTAAACATCAATCCACAAACAAAAAATAAATTCTCCTTTAAAGAAGAAAAAGGTGGGAAACAATGGCTTTTCCCTTGCAGGCTGGCAGAGCTCCAGCCTGCGAGGGGCTTCTTGGGGCCCCCTATGCTCCACACACTGGGGGCAGCAGGTTGGGAGTGAGGGGAGCTGGGTCAGGACTGGCCATTGTTGTTTGCAGATTGGTCATGGTACAAAAAAGGTTGAGAAACACTGATCTAGTCCAATTCCTTGCTCAAAGCAGGACTGTCCCCAACTAAATCATCCCAGCCAGGGCTTTGTTGAGCTGGGCTTTAAAAAACCTCAAAGGATGGAGATTCCACCACCTCTCTAGGTAACCTTTTCCAGTGCTTCACCACCCTCTTGGTGAGAGTTTTTCCTAATATCCAACTTAAATCTCCCTTGCTGCAACTTGAGACCATTGCTCCTTGTTCTCTCATCTGCCTCCACTCAGAACAGTTCAGCTCTATTCTCTTTGGAACCTCCTTGCAGGTAGTTGAAGGCTGCTATCAAATCTCTCCCTCCCCCAGTCTTCTCTTTGCCAGATTAAATAAACCCAGTTCCCTCAGCCCCTCTTCATCAATCATGTGCCCCGGCTCCTGAACCATTTTGTTGCCCTCTGCTGTACTATCTCCAGCTTGTCCTTATCCATTCTACAGTGTGGGGGGAGAAGCAGGGGGAGAAAAACTGGACAGAGTACACCAGATGTGGCTTCACTGCAGAAAAGAGCAGAATAATTACTTCCCTTGATCTGCTGGCAACACTCCTACCAATGCAGCCCAGTGTGCTGTTAACCTTTTTGGCAACAAGGGCACACTGCTGACTCATTCAGCTTATTGTCCACTGTAGCCCCCAGGTCC